GTGAAATGTGTTCTTAATCTTACCAGCATTTTCTTTCTTTGTAGAGATCTGATTAACAACATAGAGATTGAGAAGGTCCAAACTGACAGCTGAGTTTTTCAAAGGAGATACTCCCAATAGCTTCATCTTGGACTTAAGTTTTTCCTTCTCAAAAAAATCCTATTGAGAAGAGATAGCAGTTATCACATAGACATTTTGTGTAGCGATATTTTAACCAGGTTCATTTTCTCAGTATATTAACAAAGAGTTTTGAAATATATATATATATAGCTTATCTAGCAAATATATTGATAGGATTGATTTTTTTTAAATTTTCCTCTTGGAAATTAACATGTACATGAAGGTTACAACAGCAACTTTTGTTGTGGCTGGACAGAGAAATTTGATGGGCCTGAAATCCCTCAGAATCTTAGAGTGGATTCCTGGGTCTTCCCAGATCTATTTAAAAGTCTGCACAACAATGATTGTGAACAATTAATGATTTTAAAACAGTATTCAATATATCTGAAAATAGCTACCCTATAACTCCATTGTTATAGAATACACAAACTGCCACGCTAGGTTCATAATATTCTAATTATAAAATTATTATGTCAATGATGATGATAAAGATTTCTGGCTAGCTCAAGCGTAATTTTAGAGGGTAATCGTTACTTACTTTCTGTTTTCTTCTCTCTTTGGTAAGCAGGATTCTTCGACTAGAAGTTGGAAGAGAGAAAAGAAGGAGTATTTTTAGAACAGTTTCTAAAATTGATGAATGTGTAATATTGAAGCCGGATTTATTCGGCTACTAAATCAGAAGGGATTAATGATGTACTTTTTCTTTGATTAAATTTCTTGCTCATTTAATTCAAAATTCTGAAGACTTAAAATTTATTTATTTATTTATTTATTTATTTATTTATTTATTTATTCACTCATTCACTCATTCACTCATTCACTCATTCATTCATTTATTTATTTATTTATTTATTTATTTATTTATTTATTTATTTATTTATTTATTTATTAATATAGCTGCCCATCTCAATCAATTTCTCTGGGCAGCTCATGATTCAGAAAAGACATACAATAATTAAAACAAGAAAAACATTTTAAAAACAATAAAAGACCAAATAACAAATATTAAGTAAAAAAATATTTGTTTAAAATAAACCAGCCTAGGTATCCCAATTTATGGTTATTGATTGGCACGACTAGCATCAAAAAAAGGCCTCATGGTCATTGTTATTTTACATTTTAAATTTCTGAGGCAAAGTTGCCAATATTTTTGGGGGGTGGAAAGGTAACATTTTTAAAAAACAAAGAACTACTACTAGAGGCATGACTGCATCCTCTCTATCATTATAGTTTTCCATGTCTAATTTCCTTGTTATGATACCAAGAGATGTTTGGCTGTTTTTGGAAAAATCAGCAATTTATAAAAAATGAATGAAAACACCAGAGAGATTCAGAATTTGAATATTCCCATAAAATAGATCATAAAGTAGGCCGTAAGGTGTTAATCTGACTGGGTCATAACCTGTCAGTGGAAATTTTGTTGAATTTCTTTCTATGACTAATATAAACAAGCCATTACAATTATCTCAGGTTGACAGCTACGATTTAATTATTGGTCCAGTTTATATTTTCCCCAAATTTGGAAAGGATTTTTTT